CCGCCAACAGTTGAATCAAGTAAGGTTGACAGTGAGGCTTGGTACCTGGTTAAAATCGCAGGATTTTGTAGACTCGTGGGGTTCGGTCGGTAGTAAGCGTGCCTGGGTGATCCTCCGAAACGCATGCAAACCTTAGCATGAACCAATGTGTGATCGGAGTCTAGATAAGTTGACCAGTACGATCAACAGTCCGTTACGCTTCCGTGCCATCTGTAGCTGCTTGCTATGTGGTCAAGCTGGGAGCACTTTTGCGTTTGTGAGGGCAGGCGTCAGGTAGCAGTGTGTCTCCTCGAGCGCCGAAAACTGGTGCTAGAAAGAAACAAGCGATGATCAAAGCAAAGAGCAAGCAGTCTGTCTCCAGAAGTTGATGTAGCTGCTGGTAAAAGCTAGCTTTAACTGCATCCGGGTTGCAGTCTTTAGGGGTCTAGGCGGAGAGGACAAACAAGGCACGCTTAACGTCTCGACGCCTTCCTATATTACACAAACCTCTTAATCGGACTGAGCATAGCCGACTGTTGACTGGGATGCAGTCAAGCAAAGTTGACTCAGCCCTGGCACTCAGTGAAAACCCAACACCAGCTTGGCCAGAGAGGGTAGTTTCTGGGTCTCCGGAAAGCCGGAAGTGGTATCTGGCGTCAGGGTTTACAGAAGAGACCACTCTGGTGACGGCGCTAGAGTCTTGTAATCTGGTTTCTGAAAAGTAATAGATGCCTACCGGGAGCGTTTCAAGAGAAGGGGCCAAACATGCTTGTCGTCCAAGCTGCATCAAAGTTCGAACATTAAACGCTGCGAAGAAGAATGGAGAATCAGGTCGAAGAAGAGCTGGAGCGTCGATGGACTGAGAGACGGCTGTGACCGCACGGCATTGAGAACCGGGAGTGTGGCTGTTATTTCCATCAGTTGCGAGACGTGGGTCGTTTGTGACGGTGAAATAAGAAGGCATAAGAGTACAAGAAAGGTGAAGGATGGGAAATAGGGTGATCTGTGAGTGGAGGTTGAGCAATTGAGTTAGCAGAGAGGATGGGCACAACAGGAGCAGTAGAAAGTAGCGTGGTCCATGATCCGTCAGTGGGCGTGATAATATCCGGTTGCCCAGGCCGAAGTACAGGGTTTCCTTAGGGGGCACTGCACTCGAGCCCGAGGTGAATAAAATGTCAGCCAAAATATCCACCTAAGCCTAACAAGTCGCGGTTGGAAATTTTTGCCACAGCGGTTAGTGACTAAGTGGGGGTATTGTGAAACTGATTATGGTCATACGGACCAAATAGACCAACGTTCACTTCATGTGAATCCCGGTCCACATTGAGATTGCTCGTTGTAATCCATTCGCACGATGGGTGCTTAAAAAGAATCGCTCCAATTCTCAAATACACTGCAAAATTTAGATAGTCGGCATACAACTAACAAGTTTCACGAGTCGTGGTCGTTCTGATACCGCGCATTCTACAGACCACCAGTGCGCAACATTAGACTTTCTACACCAACAAATAGTTGTTTAGATGGACTTATATCACACAATTTTAATAACAATCATTTATTTGCATTATTGTTTTGAAGCACCCATTTTGTCAAAAGTCGGAGATTTCATGACTGAATTCCCATCTGCGTGCGCTATTGCCGGTAACACCTATTTTACATTCGAGCCCGTCGCAATGAAGTCGAGGAGCAACCAGACCTCAGATGCGCTGAGATACAGCTTTTAGGGACAGGCTTATTAAATCATAGATAGAATTGTAGTAAGCTCGTTCTGATAACTATGAACAAAAGCTGTAAACACCGCATGGTTGCTGATAATGAACAGACTGTCAGCCAGTATAATCACCAATACGCGTACCCGTCGCCAAGAAGGGATGCGCTATCCAGAAACACGCCGGCTACTTGGTATATAGCTAGTTAGACCGCAAAAAAGAGAAACTCAGTACATTTGAAACGCTATCCGATACTTCACTTAATTCAGCACTGCCACTCAATCAGCAGGTTTAGGCTAGTCTAGAAAAGCAGCAGACGCCGGCGTTTCGACGTTCTGGATCTCCTTAGTGGTGCGTCTCCCAGCGGACCCCATGCCGGATTCCGCCCCATGAGCTAAGGCTTAGCGCATAGCGTCCCGACGCAGCTAGGGGACTTGAAAGCTGTACACACATACTTCTTATATATATTACTGATGAGTAGTGAGAATTATGATATAATTCAGCTAATGCATCATCGCCAATTAATCAGCAGGCTTAGGCTAGTCTGGAAAAGCAACAGACACCGGTGTTTCGACCTGAAGGTCCTGTAAGTGGCGCGCCTCCCGCAGACCCTTTCCGTGTTCCGCCTCCATGACTTCCGGATGCCAGCAGCTAGTGGCACTAAACCATGGGTAACAGTCGCAGACCTGCGTGACTGACAGTTGACTATGATACAGCCCGGCTCACCGTAAACTGCCATGCCAAGTACCGACTGTGCAGAAGACAGTGGCTAGCCGTGGTAGTGGAAGATGAGCTGGGTTATATCATAGTCAACCACCAAATAGGTAGATCCGCAGCTGTCATTCATGGCGAAGTGGAACCAGCTGCTGCCACCCAGAAGTCAAGGCCTAGGAAACCAGCAGGGGTCCCCAGGGAGGCGCAGCAGTGACGAGACCCAGAAGGACGAAACATCGGCGTCTGGTGTTTTTCCAGACTGCTGATTAAGAGTGGCAATGATGAATTAGCTGAATTATACGAAAATCCTCACTACCTATCAGCACTATGCGAGTCGGTCGTACACCTTTCGGTGTACCCAAATACGTTGCTTGTTTCTAAGTGTTGAGAAAATAATCGCAAAGATCTAGATGTCACGCGCGCCTACATGGACAAGATAGCAGAGATCATTCGGTGGTCGAAAGGGCCGTGCCGCTGCGTTGCAATCCTGAAGTCAAAGGTTCGAATTCGCGTAGGTGTGGGCGACCCCATGGTATAACCAACCCACATGTGACTGATGGTGGTATGCCGGTGTAATGCTGACACGTTTCTTCTTCGAACAGAGTGTGGGGTAAGCAATGAGCAGCATAATTGTAATCTAGTAAACTAATGACAAGGCTCAGAAGGATAGCTTAACCATCAAACAAGACACTAAAACTGTACAAACATACAAATAAAATTGGAAAACCAAATGTGGCAAAATAGTAATAAATGTAGGAAGTTAGGGAACCCCTATCAAGAAAATGCATCGGCTGTGTGAACCTACATTATGACTGAAGGTGGCAGTCAGAGGCAAATACGCTTTCGTGATTCTTGAAATTTTTCTGACCTCAAGGGCAGCATCGGAAGATATAGACGACGCTAAGTAAGAGACGGGGGTCAAAGAAGTCAGTGAGAGTAGAGCAATAAGTCTCCAGATGCATAAAATGTTTTATCTGCATACAACAAAGCATTACATTTTCTTTAAGTACTCTCCATCAGCGTTCATGCGCAGTTCCACGCGCTTAAACCATCTGAAGAATCAGCTAGACCATGCTGAAGCGTGTTACCCAACAATCAGCCCAATAAAGGCCTCTACGGCAGCGTCTGGAGACGCGTAGTGGATCCCACGCATCATCCGCCTGACATCGGGGAACCCAAACGTCACACGAAGCTAGTTCTGGACTGTAGGATGGCTGCCCAACCCCCTGGTTGCGTTCTCTAGACAGACAATCTACGACCATATTAGACCTATGTGCAGATGTGCTATCATGGTGTAGCAAGGTCCCCGCAAGCTCCAGTCCTTGGACGATGCCTGGCTACAGCTTCCGGCATTTGTGGCAGAAAGTGGGTGGCATAGCAATTTTCGGTGACGGTACGTTGTCGTACGAGCAGTGCAATAGCCACATGACTAGTCTTGGCCACGAACACAGCCACCAACTGCTTGGTCACACTGCGCTCAGGCCGGAATTTTCAAGGCGGCGCCCCACCAACGGCCGTCCACTGAGCCGATTGTTGCTTGGTCTCTGGGCCGAAATTGTACACCCAGATCTCATCACTACTCAGGATCTCCCAAACAGCATCGGAACGTCCGCCATCAAACCTGGCATGGTGCAGCACCAATTCACCCAACCTACCTTCTGGTCCTCACTAAACTGATGGAGCATCCAGCGTGCGCAAACCTTTCCCAGGCCGAGGTTCTCATGTAGGATGGTGCGGATTGATTCCGATGGCTTTCCACAGCTGTATCACAGTCACTCGCGCGTTCTCCTTCAACATCGCTGGCACAGCAGGAATGTCCTCCGCAGCGGTGGCCTCCACTGGTCGACCACACCGTGCTTCATCATCCAGCCACCGCCTGTAACGCTTGGATTCCGCAAACCACTCAAACACGGTGGTTCTTGAAGACGCATCATCATCAAACGCTCAACACTCTGGTGCTGCTTTAACCCACATCCGTAGTCACAGAAAATTATCGCCAGTAGTGAAATGCTTTCGGTTACTCGCCCTGCTGTATGCAGCAGATGAGTCGACCCTTAATAAGCTGCGCGATGGCCGATGCAGTATGTAGCTGAAGTTTGAGGTGATTGTCATAGTTGTATGTGGGCTGAGAAACCGCCAGGGTGCCCAGACCGAAACAAGGGGACGATTAGTGTTCTCAACCAAAGTCTTTCGCTCAAACGTCTGTGCGCAAGGCAGCGGGCATGTGGTAATGATTGGATTTTACAGAAATGAATGTCATCCCAGTTCCAACTACTAACTTGGAGGGCTAGGAAATTGAGTGTGTATGACCTCTAACCATTGACCAACTTGGCAGGAGTAGTTCTCAAGGAGTCCAGAGGCATCACCCAGTATAGCTCAATGGGTTAGAGGGGCACGCAAACTGTCGACCAACGTTAAAGATCCAATCTTGGTGGCTCAGGTTGCCATGAACCGTTTCCAGAGTAATCAAACAGCTCGAACAGAAATTTTAAATTGTTGGTATAATTTACACGAATGCGAGAGGTGTGGCAAATACTAATCCGAATCTGCAATTATTGTTCAAAACGAAGAAGAGCATGATTATGTAAACAGACTCACCGGGTCAACTGATTCGGGAGATTTTGTTGCATCAGGCATGGATTGGAACTCCTTAGAGGTTAGTTCAATTGGTGCCGAGTGATATTGACGCTTGTGCTTCCGTAGAGAGCCCGGATCTGTGTACGATTTACCATCACCGCAGATAGAACACGTATAGGGTCGTGGACGGACACGATCAAGGGCCACTTCTAGTTCAAGTGCAGATAACGATGGCCCGTCGTTCGAACCAACTTGATCGGGACCCTGACTGCGCGAAGCGAGTCGGTGCCGTTTGCGGCAAAGCGATCGGCCAGAAGTTCGACCAAACGTGCGATGACATATTTCGCAAGCATACGGTTTTACACCTACAAAATGCGAGGTGTATTAGGTCAGCAAATGCGAAACGGCAGCCGTGGAAAGACAAATACGATAGCACGATGAAGTGACGCTAATATAACCACTGAAAGTAGGAGAGGTCAAAGTGCCAGGTCGTTCTGAAAGAGGAGCATTTACTACTGCACGTCTGCCACCTCTACTAAATACAAACAAGGTAAAGACGTGCCACAACTGTCGCATCGTTGTGATGAAGAAAACCGGATCAAACTGTGCAAAGATTCTGTTGATTTTCGTTTCGGTGGTCTTTCCAGTCGCTTTGGGTCTGGAAGGCATGAAAGCGTTACAGTGAGCCAATGCACGCTTGAGCCTTCGTGAGGAAAATCAACGGGACGAACGGTTTGCCAATATAGTGGGAGAATAAAAGAAATCAGCACTACGCCGGTCCATCGTACGAAACTAGCGCTGCCATGTAGCCATCACCAGTCACGTGCGGGTCAGGGGTACTTGGGGGTCGTTCACACTTACGTAGGCTCGAGCAAATGACCAATGGATCGCAATCCAAAACACGTGAATCATTCAGTCATAATGCGGTAGGGGAAAAGCAACAAAATGAGCCATCAAATGTGCGTGCATAAGTAGTGCACGATTCGCTTCGAGCTAATGGAGCAAATGAAACGAGTAGCCCTGTGAAAAGGTAGAAATCACACCTCAGATTCCTACGGACCCTTATTTATCAGAAACGGAACAGGGCTAATTAGGGAAACAGACAACGTCGTACCTATGTTAGTCATTTGACTGTCACAGCAACGATTTCAGTAGGGAAAGGTAACCAACTAAGCTGTCATTAGCACCAAAGGATGCCTGCAAACCAAGGCGTGTTTGATCTGACTCAGACGTTCCACTGCGCTGCGTGAGGGTTGGCGAAGTGATCTGGGGCTATTGGAACCCCACTTCAAAACAGTGACGGACTGCAGTCAGCTTGCAAGAGAGGCGAATTAGCAGTCTCGAAACTTCCGACTCCAACAGCTGCCAAACTTTGTGCGGACATATGATACTCTATGGCCGCCTCACGTATGACCCAGTCGAGTTAAAAGTTCTTTCAGATCCATCAGTGATCTATCCTTCCCATGCGGCACATAGTCTGTGATCCTATATAAATTTCCATACAATCCAGATTCGATGAACCGCCGGAAATTGTTTATGCACGAATTGGATGTATCAAGTCAGTAAAAAACAAAACACTTTGTACGACGACAGTAGTTCAGTTCGGCTCAGTTTGCTCACTATCATCCGTGTGCCCATGTACTCGTAATCCGATTGCCCTCAGTAAGGTCATCAGAATAATAAACAAATAATAATAACAATAATTCAGAGTGAATGGACAAGTAATAAAATTGGTAGGCGGGACCGAAGGCAAAAGAGCCAGTGACTTGCTGCAGCGCCATATCCGATAAGGCATCGAAACAGCGACGAGATCCAAAAGTCGACAGGAGTCAATCTGACGGACATTCTGGTAACACATTCCCATGCTCCTTCGCCATGTTGCTGACTCACTACTACGGGGTCCCACCCCAGTTGGACGAAGTACTGGCAACAAAAAAGACACGTTGCCGCGGATAGCGTGCAGGCACAAGGAGAGCAATAAAGACAGGTAAGGACAGTTTCCTCCTCCCAAAGTTTCACTAGCAACTCGCGTAAATCATCTATCTACAAGAGCGGGTCCTTTGGATTTGTAGAGAGCTAGTGGAATTCTATCTGCACCAGCGGCCTTATGTCATTTCAACAGTGCGATCTTACGTTCAACTTCTGCGCGTGAAGGTGAATCTAAGGAGACGGCCCACGGAGAAGGGTACTCAATGTTCGAAAGAGAAAGCGATAACTCAGATTGGTTAAACTGCCTTGCAAAGTGTTCGACCAAACACCCCAAGCGTTTTGACAAGCTGTGGATCGGCTGTACACTCTCGTCGCTCATTGTCTCACTAACACGACGTCTCTTGCTGCCTATTCTCCGTATCAGACGAAATAACTAACGATGATTACGAACGGCAGCGGCTAGTTCCATTTCCGATGCACGATGAGACCACCAGGCTTCACGGTTTCTCTTCAGGCTATCACGCAGTTTTTCCCTGAGACTGCGGGTCTAATTGTATTCGCTTCCAGCCGGAATACGTCGGCGAGCATCAATAAGCTCCAGAGAATTTGTAGAGACTCAATGCTTAGGTTGACAATTTAATCTGCCACATAAAGATATGCCTGCTGATTATAACGTTTGACGAATATGCGATCAGTGATCTTCCACGGTGTTCAGTGGACGCTTACTCAGCCCAGATGCCAGCGTAGTTTGATACGCATTCAGAACAAATAACTTAGCCAGGTGACTGGTGTCAATGCGCTCAGAGTGACCTTGTGGACGTCGGTCGAAGCGCACACGCAGATCAGAACACACAAGAGCGTGGTCCGAGTCAAACCTTGTGCTCCAAATCCAGCGACAGTTTTGGACCTAGCCTCTCCAGCAGTAACTAAACGCGATGTGATCCATTTACGTCCATGGCCTGCCCGAAGCTGATGGGCGCAAAGTCACTCTTCTGCAGGTGCTATGTCAAAAGTAGTGCTCGTGAGAAAGAGACGAGCAAAGTCACACTGTTGTAGCAACCGCTCATCGTTCTCATTATGGGCGCATACACCATGTTTGCCGTCCAGATGAAGCTCATCAAAGGACAATTATCTGACTTAAACGTTAACATCAACAGCCAGCACCACAGTATCCGTGCTCCTTCAGTGAAGAAAAAGATCGTTAAGTTGGTGAGAAAAATCATACTTCACCGAATCAGGGTTGCAGTTTGTGGGGGCGTAAGCCGCAACAACAAACCAGGTCCCGTCTGTCCCCGCGTGACGACGAATCCTGCAACAAGCAAGCCAAACCAATGGCGCACATCCGGCTGTGGAGAGGGATCCAGTAGATCAAGGCAGCTTCCGCCCGGGGACTCAAAACAATGTCAACGCCAGCCTGACCCATATTTGAAGCTGCGTCATCTCCAGACAGCTACAATGAGAATGTGCCTCAAGCGTGGCCTGTGGGGGATCACAGAATAAACACGGCGTTCGAATCCTGCAGACGGGGTGCGGATAAACAGCAAATATCGATCGATAGAGTCTCCAGTGTTCGTGGAAGTGCTCCCTGTTTGCCAATCTGCAGCAAAGTGCGCACATTGAGGCATACCAATCTTAGCGAGGATCGAGAACTCTAACGGAAAACATGATCTGACGTTGTCCGCTCGGTTGAAAATGTACTTGTCGATGGGATGGGAGCGACGGCCTGCGATTGTGGGTCAGTTGGAACCAAAAGACAAATGACTATTGAAGCAAGGTGGGGGAGGGCCAAGAATTGGGGGACTGAAAACGGAGGGATAAAAGTGAAGTTGTAACGGGACGCTAAGGATGAAAGTGTAAGAGGTGGAATGATAAGACGGGAAGACCTGAGCAGTAGCATCCAAACCACTATCCACCATGCTCGATGCAACAGGTAGGCCGCCGTTGATTATCCTCTGCGACGACCAGACCATCAAGAGATTGTTAGAAGGAAAAGTCATTGAGTTGTATTGCGTACTGTCTGGTTTCCCATGCCTAGACAGGGGAATGATTAGGGTTCTCAACCAAAGCTTTTGGTTTAAAAACCTGACCGCAAGACCGCGGGGTATATGCACTGGACTAAAGAGCGCCCGTTTTATGGAGTAAGGAGCCACCCTAACTTCAACCCCCCAAACTGGAGGGTCAGAAGACTGAGTTTGTCTGGTCTCTAACTATTGACCAATCTGGTATCAGTGGCTCTGAAGTTGCAAAAAGCACCAACCAGCATAGCTCAATGGATCACTGAAGCACACAAAAAATCGAACCACGTTAAAGGCTCATCGAGATGGATTATTCGAATGTATTTGATAAAAGACACATTTTATTAAGCAAATATGCCTTTACTTCTATGCGATTGACATCTGAGTTTGCCTTGAATTGGAATGTTGCGGTGAACGAGATCGTTTTCGCTCAGAATCGTTAGAAAACTGGAAACCTAACAGTTAAGAAAGAAAGTTGCTGGCGGTGAAATAGTGCGAAGCACCCACGCAATTTGTACGAATGTAAGAACTGGTGCCAATGCAAAAATGAGGTGCGGTGGTTCGCTGACGGAGATCAAATGAAAATTCGGGGCAGAGAAGTCCTGATTATAAATGAACGAAAGGCTCATCAAACGGGGTATTAGTATGATTATTTCTGGTCTTTGTGATCTGCTTAGAGCGAGAAAATATTGCCTGAAGTTTGAAATAGCAGCATTTCGTGTACAGGTGCGGTTGGCAAGATGTAAAACATAGATTTCATCAAGAGAATTCAAACAATTGCCTAAAATACAATACCATATACAGTGAAATATCAGTAGAGTGAAAATTTGGGAACTTCGGAAATTACCTACTTATAGTGAACGTTCGTTACATTGAAATAAATACACACAGGAAGTAATGACACACAGTAGTCGTATGCGATTTTTTGTATCTTTCCAACATAACAAAGATACACAATGTTCTGGATCCGCTATTTTTGAAAAAAGCTGATTTTCCTCTGAAATATTTTAACATATATGTATTAGGAAAGAGAAATAAGGTGATAAAAGATTGCGCTAATCCTAACGTCTCGTTATACTGGCGTTCGTTATAGCAATTGTTCACTGTATTAGGATCGACGAATGAGAACTATGCGGACGCACCTTGATGTATCAACGAGTGTCGTTTGAGGTTCTCAGTATTTTTAAATTGTAAAGAACATTCAGCACAGAAAACTCGCTTCGGAGTGCAATGAGTGAGTAGGTGACGTTTCAATTGGCTCCTGTGGAATAAACATAAAAAATAAAGAAAATTGGTCACCTAGAGAAGGATAATGCTATTCAACGATGCTTAAGTTCTTGCCATCTAAGAACAACTAGCCGATTAAGTTCAGTGCTGAGCAAGATTTTCGTCCCGCAGCTTTGGTTGCACGATTGAAAACCAAAGTGGAGTTAAAGCTAGGGAAATAAACGGTAGTAACTGTGCCAGTTTTTGGGACCCAATAACCACGTGTTTTGGTGCAAGAAGAGAAGTTAGACGTTCGGCGCTCCACTGTGGCGCATACTAGACAACCCGTCTTACCCATGTATAGGAGTCTTGTTGGTTATCGAGTGGTGCAATTCGTACTCGTCGTTATTAACCACATCGTATGCGCTGAGTTGAAGTTGATGACTGTGCCTAGTAACATTTACTAGATTAAGAAATAGCTACGTCAACTCGTATACGTGTAAAATCACCAAGGTAACGGAATGCATAAACTGTGTGAGGATTGCGGTCGTCAGTGCTGGACACTCCAGCCTGTCCAATCCCCGGTGAAAATTTCGGACATCAAACAAACCTCAGACCTTGAACATTTGTTACTCTGAAAAATAAAGCACCATTATAACCGGTGGGGCTTAAAGCTGGGTGGAGCCACAGTTGTGGGAAGCAATCAGGCACCATTATTTTGTATGGCGCAGCTGGGCAAGACGAGAATCCAGCAAACACATGGACCATAGGTAGGAAAAACAACGAATCACATTGAAAGAAAAACAGAGCCAAGATATACACTGCAGCTGACCTGAGTAGGCAGCATGCTGACACACAGCAAAGCCCACTTTCGGTTACTATGCGCATCAACTTCACGGAACCAGCAAGGGTGGTCATTCTGAAAAACGCGCCGATAACCCATGCAGAACACTGGTGTGATGGGCGTACAAAAAGCAAGCTCACCTACGGTTCTACTTTCCCGTGCGTCTGAACAATTGCTTCCATTTGCATCTCATTTCGTTTAACACGTCAATCATCGCCTTAATTCTTCGCGTTGGAAAAGCGCGCTGACTACTGATGCTACAGTACTATACCGGCCACAACAAAATCTAGTTTCTCACTATCCCTCCTCCTTTACTCTGCAGCAATAATTAGAATCTAAACTCAACTACTTTAAGATTTCTGTGCTTTGGACCCTCTTCGACCCATAGCAGTCACTTTATTTCTTAAGCTTCCGGTAAGCACGCCTATCACTGACGCGATTTGTGAGATCAGAAAACACCGCGAGATTTTTATGGGATAACACTAACAACTCTATTCAATGCTTATCTTGCAGGTTGTATGCTTTCAATTCACTCCTGCTCGTTTCGCGACATCAGGAGAGAGTTCACCGGGTGGAGTCGGACAAATCGAAAGACGTTCCGTTGATACAAAACAACTACAAGTTTGTAACATGAGACCAGCTGATTATTCTTTTGGCTATTCAATGGACAATTTCACCGCACCATGCCACTGAAACTAAAGTTGGCAGCCCTACCCTGTAAACTGTGGTTATTTTCCTTTGACAGACTGTTAGTGCAGCTGAATATGAAATACCATCATCAACCTCGCGATTGTCTGCATCTTGTCGAGAAATAATGGAGGACAACATCTATCTCCAGTGGCCAGCTTGCTCGTATCAGTTAAGCAGGTTTGAAGCGATAAAAGGACACATCGTAATCATCGTAGTGCAACGCCTCCAATGTAGCTTTGCGCTTGAAGCGCGCAAATTGGGATATATCCAAGTAGAGTAGGCATTGCAGATCTGTTGAGATGCACTCAGACAAGGTAAATCGTGAAAGTTATCGTCAGATTTGCTTCCATTTATGCGATTCCGGTTAAAATGACCTCGTTCTACAGTAGCACCAAATCTCAGCTAAAATCAGAAGTCAACACCTGGAGGTAGAAGCGTGCTGCGGAAACAGCTACCGAAAACGGGTACAGGTAGTGTAAAATCAATGAACATGTATAGGTTAGCCCGAGAATGTTCGTCGTTGGGAACGGCTAGATCAGGTGCTCTGATTGGTAGTTTAGTTCCGTTATCCAACAGGAAGGTAGGTGCACACGTCATGTGGTGGATGGGAATGCCAGTAGTCCGTGTCGACCGTTACAAATTGTGGTAGTGACTATCTGCGAAGGATGTAACGAAAAAGCTGCTTCGTATTCCGAAGGCTTTTCACAGTGACTCGATAGACAAATTAAGGACCAACGGGAAACTGTCTACTGTATCCCAAACGACAAGTGAGGTTTGCCAAGGTTATCCTAGATCTCCTTTCCACTACAACGTTGCGAGCAAATTATTAGTAAATGATTAAGTGTTCTCAGACTTTTCTGTCAGATGACGGACTGATAAACCTCGAGCATCCAGGCAACATGGCGCTCCCTAGGGTCGGAATCGGTGGCCATGCATGCGCCATCAAACAGACTAACGCGTAGCGTTGTACGCTACGGTATGTATTTTTCATCTGCAAAGTACGAAGTACGGTTGCAGGACTCGGTTGGCACACCTCCGGTTCTTGCTAACAGCGAACAGTCAAAGGAGGTGAATGAACAGTCACCTAACTAGTTAGTTGTATCACTAATAGTGCTCGCATCATTGAGAAGATTGTCCCACGTATCAGTAAAACCTGTGACTTTCCAGAGGCTGTCATTCGTAAGTATCTCAGTCGAAAGTGAGGTGTACGACAATGCGATAAGGTCAGTGTTACCGTATGGATTAGGGACTTGGCCACTTCGAAATAGAGACATCAAGAGATTGTCTGTCCACGAGACCTGATGCTTGCGGAACATCCCTCACATCTGAACAATAAAGAGAATCAACAGCTGGTGTTGGGCAACAAACCTTCTGGCGACTCACTGGAGCGCCTGAATGACTTGAAGCGCTTACGTTGGCCTAGTCATGTCCTCCGTATGCCCACTGACTTCATTCTGCGGTGCGAACTATATGTTATATGCTCGCAACCAACACTAGTGGCGCGCTTGCTGCCTGTTTAAAGTGTGATTAATTATCTGAGGGGTAATGGCTGATTATGACGCGGAGCAGTTAAAACTGCAAAGAAGCTGTCTCGCCGATGCCGCCTTATCTTCGCATGATAGCCAGCTGTTTGTGATGGTATGTTGTTGACAAGGTGTAGACGCCTTGACTCTGAATCTTTGCTTAGGGTATCAAGGTTTTCATGTAGGTCCCCCTTCTTTCCCTCTTATTATTCTTTATTCCTTAGGTCACCATGGTTGTATGACAGCGTAGCATCAGTTCAAATGACTGATGTACCGCTGTTGTTGGTGATGATGACTACATGCCATCGCTGTACCTAGAGAGGCGACACAGTAAAGTGACCAATTAATGATGCGGCACATAGGAATCATGAAATTGGCAGAATGAATCGATCAGGATGATGTGTATTGTCTTCGTGGAGGGAGGATTTTGAGGTGGGTCACATCAGTGGTTTGAGGCTCTATCGGACATGGCGCAGCCTAGGAGTAAGTAGCGCCTCTGCGTTACATATATTGTAACTGGCCGATATTTAAGTTACTGTACTCCTCTTCTTTCTAAACCTTTTCGTACTCCCTTTACATTCTATCTCGAAACCGCACCATTGTAAATTGCTATTCTGGTGAAGCGGGTCGTGGCAGCTAGATCCACCGCGCACTTCCGTTCTCGGATCACAGCTGTTTGAAAAAAATGAAGTACATTACAGAGACATACGCGTCAGCACATACACGCACAAACAAAAAGCTTAAGACAAGTAAAAGGTAGCAGCCAGTTTGCATGGTGACCGATTCGACAGAAGACCCGAACGCCACAAAGATAAATGTGAACAAGTGTCCAAAGTTTGAACGACGACTTGGTTTCTTTGTAGTAGTGGCTAGGGAAATCAGAAGTGATAAAACGATACACAATTAAAACTCGCACAGTGACCCGGAAAATGATAAACAAATTGGTAAACGTTTGTTCTACACGAAGCGATGAATGTCTATATGGAGAGGCTTATTAAAAGTTGCAAATGGGAAATCTTATAGGCATATGTATGTTCATCAAAAGTAAAGCAGTCGTATTAGTTGCCATGGACTTCAATGCAGCAAGGGAAAGAAGTTTATCCGAGAAGCACGAAAATTAACACTCGTCAATATCCACTGCACCAAGTATAGACCTTACTTAGATCACGGATACAATCGCTTTATCTTTGCGAGAATACAATAATCATTAAATATAATAACGGAAATGAAAAACAGCTAGTTCGGTGCTGGCGTGCTAGATGTTAAGTCACACCGGTACGAAGCTAAATGCGACGTGGAAGTGGGGATGAAACCTTTAGAGGGAATACCGCGCATAGAATCAGGTCCCCAGGCGTCGGATCCACGGTAAGCCGTAATAACTCAATTGTGCCTTTTTCAATAACCTCTTTCATCCTTCTTTTAAACTCTCCTTCTTTGTACCATTTATACCAAGTGAATTCCCCATATACCTGATTTCGAACTCACACGGTAAATCTGAAATAACATGCGCACTTTGAAATCGTGTACCATAAGATCAGTCCAAGTTTTGGACTGTAACTCGTCCAGTCGACAGGTATATATGCAAACAGGAGAGGGTTACAGACCTGGAAGAAATATGAGCTGTGGGATTGATGTTGACGTTGCATTAAAGATGGAACAGCAGATCGCCAGGAAAGAAAGATGAGCCATCTCAAACACTGATGACCATATTTTTGATCAATCGATCGATTTGGCTCAACCTGAGGTAAAAGATATCCATCTAGTATGAACTTCTAACCGTCACCACAAGGTAGACAGTAGTGTTACTGGTCAACAGCACAAAAGCTAAAAGTCCGACGAGATAGGATAAACGTTAGGGATGTCGCAGATGGTGGATGAACAATAATGCCGAAAAACACAGGGGGAACATGATAGGATATGAAACCGCAAAATGACAACTTACGCACTTCTGAAAGGCACCTTCTCAACGGACTTCTCACAACCTGGCCAATAGCAAAACAAAAGGCTGAGAGGACCACGAACATTCGCATTGCCAACGGACCGATCAGTTGGATCCCCACAAGCGATTGTTTTTCGGGCAGATGTAAGCTCCGCGAGCTAAGGACCGATGATAAACAGGCTCAAAATAAAGTACAACCGCAGACATAAAGTGACATCATTAAGCACACGGGCACGAATGATCAAGGAAAACAGGGATGTCATTATAACTCCTGAATTGTTCCGCTGGTGACATCTGACTTGAAGACACGCAGTGGAGGCACACAAAGCTTTGGTATTACGGCTGGGTTCGCATCCCTTAGATATTTAGGGTCCAATGGGAACAACTAAATGCCTAAGTTTCCGGGCATCATGCGCACCAATATTGTTTCCATCAATAATCGTTTCGACGCCCTAGTATAATTTCGGAATAGTTTCGAGCGTGAACGAGGTCTTGGCCGTAACTTTTCACATCGGACAAGCGGTAGTTGGCCGTATTTGGCGTATACGGACAACTGATGCCACTGACTTACAAAATGACGTTCAAACATACCGGAGGGATTTTTAAACCCCGCCCTGCCTCTTCATCAATTTTGAACCCGAAGATATTGCGAAGAAACGCGGGGCATACTCCCTATCACATTTTCTTCAAAGGAAGCCATTAAGGTACTTTGTACTTGCTCAAGCGTTGCTACCAGTCGTTCCGATTTCTGACAGAGCTCTTACCTAAACATGACCAATGGGATAAACCACGGAGAATCTGGTCTGCCATTGGGTAGCCACAGTTGGTTTACAGTTAGCTTAGCACATCCAACAGAACATTTGCTGAAGTAATCAGAACATTGAATCCCTGTTGGTACATAGTTCCGGCATGAAGGAAAGCTACGTACAACTTGCATCTTTGTCACATTACGCTCGGTTTCTTTCGATTAGTCGCCACAACCCAATGCCTCGCGTGTCTGTCGCTGAGCGCTCGACCATACCTAGTACGCGGTGCGCGTGGCTGCCCTGTCAGTCCCCTGTGCGCAGAATTGGCTGTGCTCTATGTCAGCACGTCCGTAGCACGCTGCAATGCGTCACAGGGCTTAGCGCGGCAGGTTTAAGCGACTCGGTCGTTCGCTCAAAATTAGCTCTGAGATGTAAACAAAGTGACCGAGCAATAAGGGATACAAAATGATCGATGGCTACTTTACTTAGAGGCTGAAAGTTTGTGGTTGTTGGCTTGTCATTAAATCCCGGATTTGGCTTGCATTTGAAACCACAAATGCTGCTGTGCGGATCTGGATTTGGAAAACTGCGCGCGTTTCTTTTGGAATGCCGCGATGTGAAATTAAAATGTGATCCACACAAGTTAGATCCGAAGGATTCCGGAACTAAATAGCGCTGGTTAAGCTGAATCTAATGAGTGTGGGCACACGTGTGCGATGGGAATTGTTAGGATAAATCCTGTCTGAGTACAATGTCAGAGAGAATGTGACCGCACGGAGGAATGAATGGCCTCAAGCCATGAGCATCTGATGTCCCGTCAGGGTTTGCAAAGTTGTCAGACATTCTTCCATTGATATGTGGTGTTGCATACAGTTGTATCACGTCCTATTTCTACTCAATTACATGGTGCACCTTACCAAGAATTTCGTGTGCAGGACGCGTTTCTGACTCTGTGCTATATGATTAGGTGAGACAGAAACACACCGGGTAAGAACGAGTGTAGCCCAAGTAAATAGGATTTATTCAGCCATAACGTGGTAAAAGGCCGAGAACATATGATAACCGATATGTGTGCATGCAGTTTCGTGAATTCGATCCTTCGACTGCACCGACTTCTCACGGTGCACATAGACACGGTCTATAGTACGTGGTTGAAAACACACAGAAAGATATTTTTGGTAGGCGAATCGCAAGGTGTTAAGCAAACTTGTGGCAATACGTACCCTTAATATTCATACCAGAAAAGCCCCTCTTTTCTGGAATCTAGAGAATCATGCACAAGCAGTACACCAGCACTTTGTGCGGAAGCTTCGCTGCATTGAGACAAGTCGATTGTGCACGGGCTAGCACACTGCGAAAGTGTCGAATAAAAACCGACGTCTCAGCAGGTTCAAAAGCATAGCCGATCTCAATGGCTTGTCATTTATGTTGTTCGCTACTACGGTGGAAAGAAAGGAGGTTGGCATGAGGTCTGTCCAGAAATCGTCTAAAATCATTATCTAAGCGATTTACCGTTATCTGTTCACCGTAACTGCTGCAATCGCAAAAGCGATCTTCGATGGCATGATCCATGTGCTCGTCAAAAATATCCCAATGAAAGCGTTACTTGGTAAGGAAAGGTACAGTGCCGCACCAATGGTAAGAAGTCAAACCGGAATATTCTCAGATCGAACGGAGTTAGGTGTTGCCATCAGGTAACAATACCTCAGGACCTGTTTCGTAAAAGTTTGAACTCAACAAATAGGGATGGCAGGACTGCACTCGAGCCCGATGCGAATAAAATGCCAGCCAAAACATCCACCTAAGCCTAACAAGTCGCGATTGAAAACTCTTGCCATAACGGTTAGTGACTAATACGGGGTATTGTGAAACTAATTATGGTCATACGGACCAAATAGACCAACATTCACTTCATGTGAATCCCGGTCCACATTGAGATTGCTCGTTGTAATCCATTCGCACGATGGGTGCTTAAAAAGAATCGCTCCAATTCTCAAATACACTGCAAAATTTAGATAGTCGGCATACAACTAACAAGTTTCACGAGTCGTGGTCGTTCTGATACCGCGCATTCTACAGACCACCAGTGCGCAACATTAGACTGTCTACACCAACAAATAGTTGTTTAGGTGGACTTATATCACACAATTTTAATAATAATCATTTATTTGCATTATTGTTTTGAAGCACCCGTTTTGTCAAAAGTCGACGATTTCATGAATGAATTCCCATCTGCGTGCGCTATTAGCCCATCGCCACAAAGTTGAGGCCCAACTATACTGTGTCGGTCCGTGGTCGACTGGCCTGCCCGCCTGGTTTACAACCATATGGTCAGCTGGTGATTTAGTAGTATTATTAATTAACACCAGTGTTGCATTCATGATGGTTCTTTACCGCAGTTGGGCCAAATGAACTTATAGTTAAAGTAGGTCTTTTTAATCTGGATAAAATTTATTCCACTTTATTTGGTTCGTTCAATTCCGTTATTCTACTGCATATTCGGTGTCAATTATGCGTGTTTGCTTTCCAGTAAATGCTGTTGTTTGATATCACCGGTGTGACTGCGCTTGATGTGCATGTGCACAAGGTGCCTACCTGTTTGACACTCTCCACCACGATTACTGGCTCCAGGAGACTGAATCGTTATGGGGGGAGGGGGCGAGGTGCACGGTCCTTGTAGCCATACTGGACTCAAAGTGTGGTCCCATCCAGTGTAGAGCGGACTACGGCCCAGCCATCGCCTTGTGTACGTCTGGTACGCATGATTCCCAACTACGATAGACTGCAACGCCGCTGCTGTGCATGCTGAAGGAGCGTGGGTCGGCTGCGTGGATGAAAAGTGGCCACCACCCGTATACCTCCCGGCCTTATGCCTTCGGGGTTTACAATGCACATGGGGTGTGTGGATGAAGCTGTGAGTAGTGCAGCGCAAGCGACCCATCGTCCCTTCGCAGACGCAGGCGTCCTGTGGCTGTCCTAAGGAGGTCGCAGTAACAGGCGAATCCGGAACCGGATGCCGTCAACCAATTAGCACTAAAGTTCAGATAGGTTGAAATGCAGCTTTTAGGGACAGGCTGATAAAATCATCGGTATAGTTCAATGAGATCGTTTTGATAACTATAAACAAAAGCTATAAATGCCGCATAGTTGCTGATTACGGCCAAGAATTGATGCCCTATTCAGAAAAACTCCCGCTAGTTGGTGTAGCGAGTTAGCGAGCTAGACAGCAACCAGAGAGAAAATCGGTACATTTGAAAACCTACCTAAATCGGTCGAAAACCATTCGGTGTAACCAAAGGGGACATCTGTTTCTAAGAATTGTTGACAAAATAATGGCGAAAGCCTAGATGCGTCGTCCGCCTACAGGGACAAAAGAGCAGTGTGCGGACGGTCGGTGACCGAAAGAGTTGTGCGGCTGCGTTGCAATCTTGAAGTCAAAGGTTCGAATTCGCGTAGGTGCGGGCGACCCCATGGTATACCTAGCCCTCGTGCGACTGATGGTGGTGTACCGGTGTACTGCTGACACCCTTCTTCGTCGAACAGTGTGAAAAGTAAGCAATGAGCAGCATAACTGTAATCTGGTAAACGAATGTGACGGCTCAAAAAGATAGGTTAACCTACGAACGAGAAAATAAGTGTAGAAATTTACAATAAAAATTGGAAAATCAGACGTGGCAAAACGGCAATATATGTAGGAACTTAGGGAACTGCTACAAACAAAATGCATCGGCTATGTAAACTTACATTATGACTGAACGTGGCAATTGGAGGCAAGCACGCTTTCGTGATTCTTGAAATTTTTTTGACTTCAGGGACAGCATCGGAAGATATAGACGACGCTAAGTAAGAGACGGGGGTCAAAGAAGTCATTGTGATTGAAACAAAGCTATAAAAAAGAAATAGCGGAAGAATCTGCTAGAAGCGAAGGGGTGACTGGTAAATCATTAGAAAAATTCCATTAAAACTAAAGATATCATGCCGAAAGCCGTAGATAAAACATGAACAGTTATGAAGGCTGTATGCGCATCAAAATATATATATAAAATATATAAAATGGCTACAATAGTCCAGCTCACCGCCTTTACACGAGGGGAACGACGCCAAAGAGATTTCACAATTGTCTATTGCTGGCACAGTCCCGCTGTGTTCGCGTGACTACACTTTGGTCTGAACATTGTCCGGTCATCTTACTCCCCTTTCTTTGATAACGACATACAGCCGTAGGTCAATAAAGCTAGACTTTGTTTAGTGGGCATAGTCTGCATTGGTCAAATAATCGACCAGCTGAATAGGCTAGCCCACACACAGTAAGAAAAGTGCCAGCTGTACACCGTAACGGCGCTTCGCTGCCGCGCGACCACCACAAGCCGCGCGCGGGCTGAGTATACCGCGAGGAAGCCCAACCCTATGCGGATTCGAACCGGTGACCTTATGGTTGCAAACCAGGCGCGCAGACCACTCGGCCAGCTGCCGACATGCATGGTAAGTACGCGAAGGCTCAGAGAATGAGAGGGGACTACAGGGTCGCCTATCTGCTTCATCAGTTACGGACGCAGAGATGGAATTGGCTAAGAGTTACTTCAGTTGGAATCGCGGTCCGCATTGAGATTGCACATTGCAATCCATTTACAAGACGCGTGCTTTAAAAAAACCATCTAAAGCTAGGTGACATTTGTTAAAGTCATAATAGACTACGCGATACGGGAGTCTGACTTTCCAATAGTCACATAGCTACACAAATCCATGTGCAAAGTCAGAGGCACATAAACTACGAGAAGAAAGATGGGGGGAGAGGAGAATACCCAGTCACAGTATTTGATTGAGGTTCACGATCAAAAGAAGGGTTTGTAATGCCACTTACCGCTTACACAATTTAGTTGCATTAGCAAGACTACAAAGTACTCTGAGTACAGTCGCCTTACTCCACGTTGCTTGCTGGCGAATTGTTGATTTTCCGCTTAAAATGTATGGTGTCAAAAGTGGCTTAGAAAACGTCCAATTTAAATCATATATATATATATATATATATATATATATATATACTTGTTAACTTCGATAAGATTTTCGCAATTGTGGTATTTTCTCAAAATATATTTTTTGACGTCTTGAACTTAGTTAGGATAAGCTCGTAACCAATTTAGTTCATAAGCTCAATTATTGCAGTTATGTCACCGTATCTGTATGCCTTATTCGATTCATTTTATTTGATATCGTCGTGTTAAGTGATTGGCTGTTGCTTGATATCCCCGGTGTGACTGCGCTTGATGTGCATGTTGACAAAGTACCTACCTGTCTATGATTCATTACCTCGTCTATAAAGGCTCTAGGAGACAGTTGGTCGTTGCTGGAAGGGACATGGTGCACGGTCCTTGTGGCCGTGCTAGGCTCGAAGAGTGGTTACATACACTCAGTTTAGGGCGGACTACGGTCCAGCCACCACCTTTCGTGCGAGTGATTCCCAAGTACTGTGTGCTTGTGTTTGCCTGTGAAGAAGAGTGGGCCGGATCCGTTGATGAAACATGGCTCTCATCTACATGCCTCCCGGTCTTATTCCTTCGGGTTTACATTGGATATGTAGTGTGTGGTTGGAACTGTGGATGATGCACCGTAAGCTACCCATGGTCGCTCCGTAGGCGCAAGCTTCCTGTGGCTGGCCACAGTGACAGGCAAATCTGAAACCAGATGCGGTGGGTGGACCGTAGTCCGCTCCACACTAAGTGCATGGAACCACTCTTTGATCCACACACGGCCACAAGGACCGTGCACCCCGTCCCTTCCAACAACGACCAACTGTCTCCTAGAGCCGGTATGGACGAGGTAGAGGGTAATAGACAGGTAGGCACCTTGTCAACATGCACATCAAGCACAGCCACACCGCGGATATCAAGCAACAGCCAATCACTTGAGAGAAAGATAACAAAAAAAAATAAACCGAGTAATGCATAAGGAAACGGTGACATAAATCTTAAATTAATGAGCATATGAAATAAGTTGTTTACAAAACAATCCGAGATAAGTTCACGAGGTCAGAAAGTATATTTTAGGGAAATGGCCTAAGCACGAAAATGTTATCGAAATTAACCACACTTAGCTTAAGCGACAAGTGCAAGTTTATAAAAGAGCGTACAGGTAGACATTTATATGAGAAAGAAAAGCATTAGGACAAAATTGAAAAACCACCACGTAATACAAATAGACTTGGCATGCAAGGACGCGGTTAGTAAATCGAATGTAGCGTACCTACAAACGCTGCGCCGGTTCTGCCTAAGTTCTTTGCGGGACCCGTCGTCGCTTCGGTAGTGGTCCTGAGTGGCTTCGCTCATGGCCCACTAGGCCTGCCTGACTCAGGCACTCGCGACCGCATGTGCTACAGCACCATGCCCTCCATGTCAATGGAGTACAACCCATCGGTGCTTGCCCCTTCTTCTCTGCATGTATGAGGTCTTTCTCCCGCTGTTCACCGTATCAAATGCCGTGGTGAAATCAATACAAAGCGAGTACAAAGACTGGTGTCGTTCTCTGCAGTTTTCCTGCAACTGACGAGCAGCAAACACTATATCCATAGTGCCGCGGCCAGAGCGGAATCCACACTGCTCTTCCGCCACGTTAGGTTCCACAACCTGACTGACGAGGAGGTTGAGCAAGATTCGGGCAATCACCTTTCCCACACAACTCAGCAAGTTGATGCCACGATAATTCGTGCAACCTTGTTTGCTCCCTTTGCACTTGTACAGTGGTAGCACTAGGGCATCCTTCAGCCCAGCAGGCATCTCCTCCTCAATCCATACACGTTGCACCAAGTGGTGCAGCGCTGTCAACAACGTGGTTCCGCCATGTTTCAATACTTCAGGCGGGATCCCGTCAGCACCGGCACCCTTGCCGTTTCGCAGCTGAGCAAGCGCTCTCTGCGTCTCATCCAGTGTCCACCAGACTCGTCTTCACATCGTGCTGCTTCAGGCCGCTCAATGTAGGCTAGTCGATCTCTGAACGGTTGTTCAAAAGACAATCAAAGTGCTTCCGCCAGATCTGCATTATGTCTGCAGTCTGTGTGCAGGTAGCGCCTGAACTACCATTGATCAGCGTCCTCAGCAGCGCCAATCTCGGTCCATACACCGCCTTCAAGGAGTCAAAGAATTCCTTGTGTCGGCGGCGTTCGGCATGGCATTCCAACTGCTTCGCCTTCTCCGTCCACCATGCATTTTTAATGCGAAGGAGCTTTCGGGTCAGTCGCCGTCGAAGTTTGCGAAACTGACTCTTCCTCCCCAAGTCCCTGGGGTCTGCGACATGTGCAGCAAATGAAGCATGCTTCCCCAACACCAATCAGCGAATTGTTCTCATCAAACCAATCAGGCCGCTTAAAGTTTGCGCGCCCGATGGTCTCCAAGGCAGCAGCTGTCACCTGGTCGCGAATGTGGTGCCACAGGTCGCCCACTGTGGCTATGCAGTCCACATCACACAGGCGTGCAGCCATCACCTTCTCCAGCTCAGTACGTTTCGCCACAGTGCCGAGGGAGAGAATGTTAAATTTACGCCGATGCACGGCGGCAGTATTAAACATAGGTTTACGAAAACATATGTACAGTTTGGTGCGCACCAATTTGTGATCAGTGCCACACTCAGCTCCACGCAGTACACGTGTCATGCGCACTTCTGGCATATCACGCTGACGTACGATGACATAGTCGAGCAGGTGAGCGTGACCACTCCGTGGGTGCGTCCAGGTTGCTATATCACTCGCACTCAGTGCAAACCGAGTGTTCGTGATCGTCAGGCCGTGAGTGGCACACAGTGAGAGCAGCCTGTCACCGTTCGCATTCGCTAAACCAATGTCATGCGCACCGATAACATCTGTCCACACCGATGCATCACGCCCAACGCGCGCGTTGAAATCACCCAGCAGAAATAGTCGGTCGCTCCACGGTACAGACCGTATCACGGAGGATAGCTGAGCGTAGATTTGATCACGCGTGTCATCAGGATAACACATGGTCGGACCGTACGCACTTATAAAAGTGGCAAAGTTACCTCTCCCGCGTCGTAAGCGAACATTCATCAGTAGCGCGCTGATGCCCGTTGGTTCACCCACCAGCTGGCCATGGAGGCGAACGGATATTGCAAATCCGACCGCATATATATATATATATATATATATATATATATATATATATATATATTGTGGTACCGGTTCGAATCCGCGTAGGGGTGGGTGTCCTCGCGGTATACTCAGCCCGCGTGCGACTGGCGGTGGTCGTACGGCGGCGAAACGCTTTTATAGCGTACAGCTGACATATTATTAGTAGTAGTAGGGTTACTATTACTATTATTTTTATATGACGGTAGCCCCAGATATAGTTAGGGTGTTATGGAAGCCTGTCCATAGCAGCCTTGGAAGCCGGCCCCTCTCGCTAGCAGCCTGGAGTAGCGGAACCAAGACGCAACCTCAGGGTTATTGGGCAGCCAAAGAGAGCGAGATCATGAGGACGTTTCACCTTGAAGCCCGCAAGTGAGCGCATTATTTCGGCAACCAATAAGTGTGTGATCATCATTGTGCAGGTTAACTACAGATGTTGTGCTGCAAAATGTGAGACAAGAGAAAAAAATGTAACATGGACGTCAGTTGAGCTACCATTAACGGATGGACATCGTTCCGAAAGGCAACCAGCCGGCTATTATGCAGTAAAAAAATTTATATTGTACAAAGTTTATATTATGCTAGAAAATGAGATTGCGGTTGGGGGTTGAGGCTAAACGAGATGGGGAGGGACAGAGTAGCTCACAACACAGACGCCAGAAATGGGTTCTTGGCTATGTGAGCAAGCGTACCTAGCCATACATGTTCATCAATTTTGCGACCCTAAGCAGGGAACGGAAAGGCTCCATCCGAGAC